GTAGGGAAAATATTCTAGGTATTGTAAGAACCCCTTCCCCCATAAAGTAAACAATATATAAATAGTAAAGCAAAAAAAAAGTCCAATATAATGTGGTAGAGAGAGACAGGGAACGAGCAGAGGTAAAAGGAACAAAGATACTGACTGGTCGAACTGTATCCCGTAGCTGCACAAGTTCAACTACACGATTAGTTGAAAGGCGCAAAGGCAACCTTGATAGTGTCTCATCTCGAGATATTTGTGCAAGTTGTTCCTCCTCTTTTTTATTGTCCCAAAAGAATAATGCCACAAGAACGACAATACCTGCACATTGCTGATTCCGGTGCTTAGTCATTTAATGAAGCAATGTAAAAGGTATTTTCTCAGGTATTACACCCTCAAATTATCTTGAAAGAAAACAAATACACACAAGCACACAAAGAGACAAATACACAGAGAGTGTAGCACACTAAATTAATAACTATAAATTGATCCTGAATTGTTTCTTCAGGAAGTTAAATAGATCATTATTCACCTCCAATATTAATGGCAGCATTCCCAGCAGTTGCTAAGAGATCAGGAGCACCATCACCACCATTAATAGCACGAATGAGCCTCGGCACAGTAAAAAACAATGATATTCCTGCAGCTGCTGTCAGTGCCACATAAAAGAATCTCCTAACCCCACGGAATGGTGCTTGAACTTCGCTAATAAGTTTTAGATCTCGCCGAAAACTGTAGCCAATATCTTCCCCACCCAGCCTAGCCTGGTTACATATCAGAACAGTAATAAGAATCAATGTTAAAAACATCATATATTTAACATTCAAGTGTTATTCCTCTCAATGATATTGCAGGCTGTCTCAACAATAGCTATGGGGGCAGGGGGAGGAAACATCAGAGTCAAAGACTTATTTGATCATTGATTTAGAGAATATAATAATCTTCAGAGACACTAATGTTCAAGATACATATTAAGTCATTTTGAACCTTCATTTAACATAAACTTTTAGTAAAGTCAGTCATTGACAGCTATAATAAAGCACACAAAGATCAGCCAACTTAGCATTACAAAATGCTTGAGAACTGATTAGAAAACCTCTTCTTGTAGTTCTTTGAATTCAGGTAGAGCTCTGAAGGAGGCCAAGTCGGGATCATTGAGGATTGTACCAAATTTTAGATTGTATTCCCTCAAAGCAGTGCGGAGACAATCAGCTGCTTTCTTTCCTTCTCCCCTTCGTGAAAATAATGATCGAATAACATCCATATTAGAATGTAAAGATAAAAATAGAGGTATTAGCTAACCAGTACCCTGTATAAATCATTTTTTTTTTCATATGTCTTGTTATATCTAGAAAATGCAAGAAACCAAAGAAATTTAACAAATTTAAGACACCTACACGCTTAGTCATTTGGTTGCTAAAAGCCTAGGAACTACCCAGGATTAAGAATTAAAACTCATCAAGGACATATAGTGATGGCAAGTAGATACTGCCTTATAATTTCACAATATACAAGTCCCATGACTCAAGTAGTATGTTCTATTGACTAAACACCATACCCGCGGACATAATCTTTACTAATAAACTATAGGCCAAAATTTGCAGACTTATCTGGGGACAGTTTCAGGAAATTATTTATTACCAATGACAATAATAATTACCGACAGAAAATTATTTAATTCATACTCATCCATTGTGAAAAGATATTATACCTGTATGCATGGCAGCAAGCTTTGTTGTAGAACGCAGCTTGGGCCTCCACAGGATTAGGGTTCAAGGAAAGTGCGGTATCAAACTGGGTCAAAGCATCTTTAACCTGCAAAATCCATTAAGAAAAAAAGGAACTTTTAATGCCCCACTTAAACTACATGGTTGGTTCTACCATATAGGGAAATAGAAGAATGAGGAGAGTTGAAGATAATAATACCCGTCCTTTGGAGAAGAGCTCAAGACCCAAATTTACGCAAGATTCAGCAGTTTGAGTATCAGCTTCTGGGGTCTGTGATGAAGAGCATGAAATCACAGAATATTTAACCCTTTTCTGTGAGCGTAGAAGAATTGCACAGTGAGGGGGAATGCATGGCCTTGTTATGTTCCTCCAATTTAAGTCTGTGAAGCACAGGAATTGCTGCACTGCCACCACAGCCATGGCCAAGTTTCGTATCTCCATTTCTTTAAGTGTTACTGCTATTAACGTGTTATCCAAACAAGCCACAATCTGAACCTTCGGCTTTTGCCAATTGCGGAAACGGACGGTGAGGATCTTAAGGTACAGAGCTCCCTGACTTTCATTTCAACGACGTCGCTTCTTTCCATGGTACACACTATCTTATTTTAAGCTCCCCTTTTTTTTAGAAAAGTATTTATTGAAATTTTAGAGATGTTTAGATAATCTTTTCAAAAAATTAGAAGCAGCAAAAACAGCAAAAGAAAAATGTCATCTTTGAGTTATTACTTAAAAAAAAGTTGCTAGAGAAAGATTTTTTTTTTTTTAAATTGTTTTTGTAATAATAGCTAAACATAAATCGATTTTTATTCATACAAGAATATGTTAAAAATAAATCACTTGCTTTAAAGTTAATTCTTATAAACTAAAGTAACGGAGCCTTTATTAAGTTGCTCTGATCCCAAGGTTAAAAGAATACCTTATGGTCTTAAGATATACTTACTTTTTAGATAACGAAAACAGTACATACACTTGTTCATATGGCATCTAAAACAAATTAACCGAGGCACTGTTATGACAAGAAGATAGCGTTATGGTACAATTGCTATTGCTTGATGACATTTTAACACTAGTTCTACTTGTGGATAATTAAGGTATATTTCATAAAATCTACGCGTGTTACTGGTTCCCAGATTTAGATAACACGTCACTTTCTTAAAGACAGACCAATCTTCATCGGCCAATGATCATCTGAGACATTGGATTTTGTAAATCCGGAGGCTTCAAGAGTGCCCCACATTTTGTGCAGTCATACGCTTATTTCATAGTGTGATATAATTGTATCTCCCCATGCGTGTGGCAAAATTTTCAAAAGAAGCGACAGATTGTGAAAGCACCGGAACAGCATTTTTTTGGCTACGGAGCTCAGTTCATGGGAATGCAAACTTGAATTTGAATAACATGTCAAAGAATAAGATCATTATGGTGTATTGTATCTATACCAGTAAAAGATGGAAAAGGGAGGGCTTTGTAAATTTGAGGTGGTGTAAAAATTACGGAATGATAGGAGATTAGCTAGAGATGGCAAGAGCTTAAATTCTTTCAACCATCAATCTCTGGATGAAAAAAAATACATAATTATCTCCTTAAAAATAGTGAATCAAATTTTTTGACAAAAATTAATCATAAAAAAATTAACACGTACTTCATACTAATGACATGCCAATTCTACTTTCCTAGCAAGTAACAAGCCATTGCCCTTGATTAATAATCTGCATGAGCTTACATGAATAAATAAAAATAAAATAAAATCTGCAAGAATTCCTTTTGGGAGAACAAGATCAATAACATAATCATGAAGTTTCTTGTTTGAATAGAATTATAATCGTGATACGTAATTGCAGTGATTTTTCCCTCACGAAGCTTAAATTTTTGTATGAGGATCCGCCAATGACAAGAGGCATTACATGTTTTTTCGACATTTCTATTTCGACACAGTGTACATATTACTAACAACCTGAAAGTTGCAACAAGTAATTTTCTTGGTACTTTTTATTTGATTGATATTCAACCTCACCAATCATACAACATCGACTATCCTTTTCTTTTGGGGAGGGGAAAGCGGGGAAGACAATTTTGGACTTTTACTCAAGATGCTTAAGGGGGATCTAAGCAACAAGACTATTAATTGGTCGAACCAATTTTACATACTTATCTATTTTGATAACCGATCCTTGCGATTTCATAAAATACATTCATCGACCTTAGCAGAAGCCAAATTGAAGATAAAACCAATTCTCCAAAAAATTTCACCTAGAAGTAAGTACCTTTCTTTATTCAAATTAAAGGAAGATCAGTTATTTTGCTCAATGTGGCGCTTGGCTCCATCCAAAGTATTCTTCAGCAACATTGTGACTGTCATTGGACCTACTCCACCTGGAACAGGAGTAATCCAACCAGCAACTTTAGATGCTTCCTGAAAATCTACATCTCCAACAAGCCTGTAACCAGACTTCCTTGTTGGGTCATCAACAGCATTAGTGCCAACATCAATGACAGCAGCTCCAGGTTTGATCCAACTGCCCTTGATCTGAAAAGGTAAAGAATTTGACTTGAAGGGATAAAATACAAGGCCCTGAACCACTAAATTTTTAAAAACTTTATGGTTCATTTTGTGCAGCCACTGATTATACCAGTGTCGTGATAGGAAGATCAACTTAAGTTTAAAAAATGACATTGAATAGCACCAGTTATCAGTTGCATTTGAGAGCTATTGCACATCTAACATATTTGCACAAGTACCAGGGACGGGGGGTTGCATGGGAGAAACTTACAGTAAGCTGCTTAATGCATTTGACATATACTTAATGTTATCCATGACACTTTAGAATAAGAAACATCCAAGTCCCAAGGGATAGAATTCGAAACTCCACAAGTAATGCACAAGGACATAGAATAGAGAGGCAGATAAAAAAATATATATTTTGCTAATTACCATCATTGGCTGTCCTGCTGCTGCAATAACAATATCTGCTTCACGTACGATACTCTCTGATTGACTTGTGTGTGAATGGACAATAGTAACTGTAGCATCAGCTTTCAAAAGCAGCAATGAAGCTGGTAATCCAACTATGTTGCTTCTACCAACCACAACTGCCTTCTTTCCCTTTATACTTACACCACTTCGCTGTAATAGTTCAATACATGCCTGCACACAGATAGCAAACTTAAATGATAAGCATGTAATTGACAAACTTGATCAGCAAGAGCTATTTAAATCAAACCAAGAAAAAGCATAATTAGAACAACCTTCCCATAGGTTTAGTGAGGATCACAGAGAGTTAAGTAACTAGTATAAAAAGTTTTTTACTTTTAGTAATAATGAAGAATATATCCAACACATTTATTCTAAATGATTAATAGGGTTCAAATATTTTCTTACATACATCATTCCTGGCCGGAGTTTCTCACCTCTCAAGAACAACATAAGATAAAAAGGTTCTATCAAACACCAATGTCTCAGCTAAAGCTAACTCGCATGTAAAATTATGCTTCAGACAGAAATTTTGAAAAATAAAATTTCCCAACGCCAGTAAATTTCACACCAAATTCCAGTCAATAAAAGGAACACCTTGATGAAAAAATAAGACACTATTGACAGGTTAGTTTCTTAAAAAAAAATAATAATACAAAATAACAGTTTGAGTTGTGTTTTCCCCCCTTCTAATCTAAGTAGCCAAACTCCAAAACCGTCTTTCTTGATAAATAGCAAGGGAAAAAAAATCCTATATTATAAAGAAAGAAAATTGGCATGCAAAATTCATTCAATTGTTGACATAGTAATAGAGATTATTCCAAAATCTTTCGAATCGAAGAGCATTTGCCTTGGGGGTGCAGGGAAGGAACAGGGGGTCTCTGCCTTTCATTGCAAGCTTGCCAATGTTCAAAGGGTGAAAGCCATCTACATCCTTCTCAATGCTAATTTCAGTGAGAACCTTCTCTTCATTTATGTGCTTAGGCAACGGAAGCTGAACCAATATACCTGCAATAAGAAAGGTCCAAACAAAAAGTATAATCAACATTAAAATAGCACATACATGAAATAAAAAGCACCTGTAAAGTAATTGAGGCACAAAAACGTGAGTCTAATTCATAACTAACTAGGATGAAATCGAATGAAAGGAAATAATAAAAAAGGACCAACCATGAACATCGGGGTTAGCATTCAAGTCATGAACTTGCTTGATTACTTCATCTTGGGAAACTTGCTCGGGAAGGTCGATATCGAAGGATTTGATTCCCAATTCAGCGCAGGCTTTTCTCTTCATTCCGACATAGCTTTGTGAATCCTTTCGGTTCCCTACTATGACCACTGCTAATCCAGGAACCTGCAACATTTTCACACACTCACTCGCGGATGCTTATTATGAATTGGGAAATGGAAATTGTTGTAATGTTCCAATTTGGAAAAAGGACTCACCTTGCCGTATTTGTTAGAGAGGAGACGCACCTCTTGGGCGATTTCAGATCGGATAGTTTGTGCAACGACTTTGCCGTCGATGACGGTCGCCATTTGTGAGAGTGAGCAAGAGCTGAGACCTTCTGTAACTGTTGTCTGTTGCTACCAATCTCTTATCACTTCGGAAATGGTCTCAATATCACCAGACGCACCTCAACGACATGTCGTTTGCTCCAATGTTATAAACTTCCTCTATGCAACCACTTGTTACACTGTAGTCAATTTCAAAACAATAAAAATAAATAAATAAAATTGCATCCAAAATAGGTGGTATGGTAAAGTACGTTATTAATGTAAAATATTTAATGATTTTATTGATAATTAATCTTTATCAGTTAATTTTTTTAATTATAAAACACAAATTAATTAATTCTGTATGACAGACAATCAAGTGTTATTAATATTTTTAAAAATTCAAAAATTTAAATACATGTTATAAATAACTTAGTTAAAATTATGGACACTCAGTGTGTTTAGTTTGATAATAGAAAATCATGGTAATTATAAAACTATGAAAAATTCATAAAATAAAATAAACAACTATTTGTTATGGTGAGTTTAACTCACAAATAATCTAAAACACGCTAAGTAACTATGCACTACTTAATAATTTATCATTTGAAAGAATGTACTGTTAGTATATTTTTCTTCTGGTAATATTACAAAAGGACACCCATAAATGTGGTTTTTAATAAATTTTAATTAATAATAAAGAATGTTTAATATAATGTGCTAAAAAGTATGTTATTAATGTTTTTATTATATAAAAATTACAATTTTACTCTTCAAATCACATCATACATGAATGGGTAAAAATTAATAATCTTTTTTTTTTATATATAAATTACAATAAATGTATTTAGAAATATATTTTTTAATTCTTTAATCATGCTTAATAATTAATAAAATTAATATATATTTTATTTATGTATTTTTATGAACAAGCCACCTTTAAAAGAAGGATTTTTATCCAAATTAAGTATCTTTAATTTTAACATTATTTAGTACAACTAATTTTAACCAAATTAAACAATTCAGGTGTAATTTTATATTTTTTTTATATAGTATATATTCCTTATTGGAGATAATTTTATTTAAGTTAGATAAGATTATTATTATTGATAAAAAAATTTCTTATAACATAATTACATATTTACAACATAATTTAAATTTGGGACCAATTTGATTTACTTGTTTTTTAAATCTATGACATAATAAAAAAATATTCACCATCATTGAGAACTGTGATTTTGTGAACAGACATAAGATAAGCATATACTTTTTTATCATAATTTGTTTTATACTCGAATCAAAATCTTAACCTTATACAGTTTTTGGTTAAGAAAAATGTTTGATTGTCATATTTTATATGTTGTTCCAATGAAGCCTACCTTTAGTTTTTTAATACATTATTTTAATCGTGTGTACATATTAGAAAATTTATATTTAATTATATTTTTAAAATATAAAATAAATTATACGTACTCCCTTATAGTTAGTTTATACGAGTTCTCAAATTATTTTACTATGAGAAAAAAGTACTTGGTGTTTCTTTATTTATAAAAAATGAAAAATTATGAAAATTATATATAAGGGGATGGTTAATTCGAGAATGTGAATAATTTTTTTTTAATCATAGTATTGATATTATTGAAAATTATGAACGCACATAAAACAAATATTAATTATTTTTTAATATAATTTATTTTATATTTAAAGCTAAAATCCTAATTCGAGAAAATTTAGTTAAAGATATAAGTCATTACTATTTGTATTAAAAAATTGTTAGAGAGTAAATAGTTTTTAAAGTAATCTATGGAATAATCTATGGAATAGTTAGGAGGGTAAAATTAGAAGAAAAAAAATGTGTAAAAAGAAAGCTATTACCTTTATTTTGGTTATGGATAAATTCTTTTAATTTATATAATAATGAACTTTATATATATTTTTATATTTTTATTACCAAAATTTTTTTTTTTTTTTTTAAATTCTTATGAGAAAGGTATGGTAAGGGTAAAAGAATATATATCAGCCAAAATTTGTTAAAACTATGGGTATGTCCTTTGTTTTTTGATCAAGATTCTTTCTCCAATTTAGGCAAGTCACCACCAAAATTCCCATTTTACTTTTAAATCAATTAAGGAATTTTTTTTTAAAATGATAACAATAAATACAAAATATTATGTTTTTCATTTCTACTCTTCTTAAGATATATTTACCTATTTATAACTGCAACTCTCCTTTATTTATTAATATCTTTATTTATTATTTGTAAACTGTTTTCTTTCTAACTTTAACACTCCTTTAAATAAAATCACTATTAACATTTATTGTCACCACTCACCAATATAATACATGTATTAAACCGAATATTTTTCTCTTACATTTTTATATTATATTTTTTATTTAAATAAAATATACAAAGGCAGTGTGCCACTAGCTATAATAATTTGTTCCCAATGGAGGGGTGCTTAGGCGGCTGCACGTGTGGGGTTGGGTTACTTGGGTAAGATATATATTTTGAAAGAAAAAAAATTCCGAACTATATATTTAATTAAGTTTGAGTAACATCATATTAAGTTTAATAATATTTTTTAAATGAGCCAACTTGACCATTTTAATTATACTCGAGTGAGGATTAAATCATCAAGTTATATATACTAATTTTTTATTTTAAAAGTTGCTTCACAAAGAAAATCAAATTAAAATTTAAATAGAAGAGAGAATAGTCTAGATTGTATATATATGTTTTCATTTTTATTTTGGAAAAAGTATTTATAAAAGTAAAATAAAATTGAAATAATAAAAAAAAATAATAAGACGGAATCTCCGAACTAATCTAAATTAATTTCCAAAAATCATTTCATTTGTTTTTGAGATGGGGTCCTAAATCTAATGGCAAAAGGAATGAAGCAGGTGGTATAGTGTTTCAGACTGCAGAAACTGAAGATGAAATGGAATCTAATAATTATAAGAAAACATTTTACATATCTGATCTGATCTGATCTGATATATACAGACACAGATGCATAGTATTTTTTGTCCATAGGTTACTTAATTAATTTGCTGCCATGAAGCTTATAACAATTTTAAGGCCTGCATGTACACATGTGACACTATGAATGAGTATAGCATAGTTATATTATTGAATTTTGTGAATGATATCTATGATATGATCTATGTGTGACTCCAAGAGCCTAAGAACATTAAGGTTCGAATTGGGTCTTCTGGCTTGTGGACGTGGTTGCAGGTGAGAAGGGTACGGTGGTTGGTGGCATCGGTGGTGATGGCCACCATGGCTGCCTTACAAACCTGGTGGAGCTTCTCTCCGACGGATCTGCGAGACTCCTTGGCCAAAGAGCCTTCACCAGAAACGTGAGGTTTCATAATTCTTCTATATATGTGTGTTGTGGTGGTATATTATAAAGTAGAAGATATTAGAGGGTGGAGTAATGGAGATATATATAGACAAATGAAATGAAACAAAGTATGGAGTGGTAGCTAGCTAGCATTCTATTCTGTTCATGTGGGGGCAAGATAACAAGATTCCTTCTGTTGGATGACAGATCCATACATGAGCTAGTGCTGTCACATTTCATACCATCAATTAATTAATATCAACTTTATTATACACTTTACGTGTTTCTGTGTATTTTATTTATTTTTTTAAATTAAAATAAAATATGTATTAATTTACATCACAACTTCTTCATAAAATAAGGCAATTTACCAAAGTGAAGTTATTGATGAGTTCAACTTAAATTTGATTACATAGAAATAAATGTATTCGCATAAAAATAAACATGAAAAGTGATTGCCTAGTATTGTTTTTATTAATAACTAGCATCAAAAAGTATTTCATACTTTCGTGTATTTTATGTAAAAAAAAATGATAATAATAAAATAATTGATGTTAAATATGGATGAGTAGTTTAATTAAAAGGTGTGAGATATTTGACAAATAAAGTTATGAAATAAAAAAAATAAAAAATATTGAAGAGAGTATTTTAAAGAATTTTTTACTGGAATAATATTTTTTTAAAAAAAAATTACAAGAATGATCACTGTGCAGGATTATTTACCAAGATAGAACCATTTACTGTTCAAGCTCAGAATTCGATTCCCCGGGAACCGAATTCTGAGCATCAAAATGTAATTTTTTTTGTTTTTTCAACTCAGAATTCGGTTCCCGGGGAACCGAATTCTGAGTTGGTTTTAAATTTTTTTTTTTTTT